AACTTGATAACACAAGATTATATATTTTCTTGAATTTACTAACTTACCCTTTGTCAGTAAGTGTTGCATCGATGATTCCAGCATATACATGAAGCCTGAGGAATTACAATAGAAGAGTTAAATCACAAAAGACAGATATACCCTTCATCCAGTGTCAAGAGATTTAGTAAATGTTGTACCCAGGATACTTCTCACTCAGCTTTTGGAGGGCTGGAGGGCAAGTCACGGCAGATACCTAAATATTTAGATAAATTTAAGGAATCTTGGAATTAATAAACTGATTATTGGTTTTTATTTTGGAAGGAGGAAATTATTTAATAATTGATTTTCTACAATACTAAATATTTTACCACTTTGATATGCTGGTTGGGCAACTCCACGATCCTTAATCAGATCAATGGCTGCCATAATCGTGCCACCTGAAGATTATTTAGATGCAAAATGAAATTAATTTAAAAAGAGCAAATTTTGTAATTTTTTCATTATTAAAGGGTATTTAAGACATTTGGTTAGTAACGTGATTTACCTGTTGCTAGCATAGGATCTACAATAAACACTCGAGTTCCTGCACGAAATTTGTCAGGTAACCTGCATAAGGAACATGAAGAAGGGTGAAACATGAAAATTTTCACAAAATAAACAAATGATGCAATAGTATTAATTTTTTTATTTTTAGTTTTTTATAAATTATACTGCATAGAGTAGCTTGTAAACATGAGATATATGCAGTAAATAACTTCTGAGTTAGGACCCCTTACTTGTTCAAATACACGGATGCTTCAAGTGTCTCCTCATTTCTGCTAATACCTTAATTAAAAAAATAAAAACAGATAATAAGAAAACAAGCATTAGTCTCAGGTAAAAAAAAAAAAAAAAAAAAAAAACATCACTTATTGAAAAAATCATTGACGAAGGGCTAATCCCTATTTTCTGTATTAAGTTGCTCTTTCTGCATTAAATCAACACCCATATATAGCTTTTACCAGATTAAGTCATGTCCTCATTAAGTCCATCAAGGTTAAAAAAGTAAATTTAATTTGATAGTTAATTAGTTACCTAGGTGGTATGTCTTGGTTGCTGGTAAGATGGATGCTGCATGTTCTGCAAGAGCAAGCCCAGCTCTCAGAATAGGAACAACCTGCAAACACAAGGGCATTTGTGTAAATTTACACACATAACAGAAGTGTTTATAATAAAGCATAATGTAAGGGCATTGATTATTGATATACTAACCGCTACAGGTTCTCTTGGATCAATAAATTCAACTGTAGCAGGCCCAAGTGGGGACTGAATCTCCCCTGAAATTGTAGGCTGCAATAAATAAACTTACTACATTAATGATTAAAGCAAGAATTTGCAATGTACTTTGATATATTAGTGTATTATCACATCTTAATTTCATTTATTATAAAATGCAAAATGTTGTAATAGGAAGAAGTAAAAGTAAGATGCTATAGTTAATAAATCGATAAAAGCATATTGTTATTTCTTGCAAAAAGCAACAAAGAAAAAAGTGACCAAATAAAGTATACCAGCCAATCCCTTGATGCTTCATACATAAGAAGCCTTCCCAGCTCAGCCATGGCATTCTCTGAACATGAAGTCATTATAAACAAAAGTATAACATGCAATTTAACAAAAACATGAGTGAATGAAATATAATTTTAATGTTTTTGTTACATGAAAAATTTGCAAATGGTGTATCCTAGAAATATGGACCAAATTTGCACATAGAGCACCATCACTCTTTGCAGAAAATGAATCTTGATTCAGAGCATCTTTATTGAAGTTATATTAAAACTATTTTTGGATTTTATTTGATTAAATATGCTAACAATATTTAATTGCATGGCACATTTTAAAAACACATATGTAGAATTCCAATCAAAGAAACTTCTTGACAACTTGAATTAAATTCAAAACCCGAAAAACAAAAAAGAAAGGAAGTGAAATTTGACACAACTAAAGCTGATGAGAAGAACATTCAAGAAAGAAGACATGCAGAACCAAAATCAAAATAAAAACTATAAACGCAACGCAACAATAAAGTTTATGAAAATTGGAAAACCACAATGCAGAATCACAATATAAGCAACTTCTTGACAACTTAAATGAAATTTAGTTTCAGATACGCAAAGGGAAAAAAAGAAATTGAATTTGATCAAACTAAAACTGATAAAAAAAATGTTCATTTAATTGCATGTCACATTCAAGAAACAACATGCAGAACCAGAATCTAAACAAAAACTAAAACCCCAAAAAAAAACGAAATTGAAAATCCAAAGCAGAATCACAATCTAAGCAACTTCTTGACAACTTGAATAGAATTCAAACACCCAAAAAAAAAACTGAATTTGACAATTCTAAATCTGATAGCAAATGTTCATCTAATAGCATGTCGCATTCAAGAAACAGACATGCATGACCAGAATCTGAGCATAAATTAAAAACCCGAAAACAAAATTTACGAAAATTGAAAACCAATAAGCAACTTCTTGAGAGCTTGAATTAAATTCAAAACATAAAAAAAGGAAAACTGAATTCGACCCAACCAAAATTGATAACAAATGTTCATCCAATAGCATGTCACATGCAAGAATCAGACCTGCAGAGCCAGAATCTGAGCAAAAATTAAAAAGCAAACAAAAGAAATTACAAAAAATGAAAACCCAAATGCAGAATCACAATCTAAGCAACTTGTTAACACCTTGAGTCAAGATCAAACACTCGAAGGTTAAAAAGAAAAGAAAATAAGATTCGAGCCAACTAAAGGTTCATCCAATTGCATGTAGCGTTCAAGAAACAGACATGCAGAGCCAGAATCTAAACAAAAACTAAATCCCAAAAAGAAAAATTATGAAAATTGGAAAACCCAATCACAATTTAAGCAACTTCTTGACAGCTTAAATCTAATTCAAACACCAAAAAGGAAAAAAGAAAACAAAATCGAATTTAACCAAAGTAAAGCTGATGAAAAATGTTCATCCGATTGCATGTCACATTCAAGAAACAGACATGCAGAAGCAGAAGTTAAACAAAAATTACCCAAAAAGAAATTTACGAAAATCGGAAATCCACATTCAAACACCCAAAGAAATGAAATAGACATGCAAAACCAGAAAAGAAATAGACATGCAAAACCCAAAAAAGAAGAATTATGAAAATCGAAAACAAAAAACGGAAAAAGATAAGAAATTTGAGTTTGACTCAACTAAGGCTTATCAAATTGCATGTCACATTCAAGAAACGGACATGCAGAATCAGAATCTAAACAAAAAAGTAAAATTACGAAAAGTGGATTCAAAACGCCATAGCATTACTTACTGAAGATGGGGCATGGTGTTTCCTCGTTTCTAAGCACTGAGACCCAGTGCTTGATCAAAGGATGAGGAGGTACGAATACCTGCAGAAAAAAAACGAGTAAATAAATCGGGAACTCATCCACCAAAACAACCCAATTTCGATCGAATCCAAAAACTCGAGTTTGTTACCAGCATTCTGTTGTCCAAAGGAGCTTTCTTTTCTGCTGTGGCTTGCGCCTTCAATGACAAGAATCTGGTACGTGGCTGCCGCCTATTAGAGCATGAAAACTGTAGGAACAATAATATACAGTAAAGTAAACAACAAGATTAGGGTTTAAATTAAACAAAAAGGAAGAAAAGAACAGAAATTGGATTAAAAAATTGGGGAAATTGATGGTGGGTATACATTATTCGGAAGGGAATGAGAGAGATTGTGGAGAAAAGGAGGCGCCGGCGATGAAAATGTGAAGTGAAGGGGGGAAGTAGAAGATATGCGAGCGGAAGCCATTGTGAAACAATCGATTTAAAGGGGATTGGGTTCCGTATATTCAGAACACGTATCCGAAAAAAACTCGTCAAAACATTGTCTTTTTGTTTTTTAGTCAAACTTCGTTAATATCGATAAAAAAAATTAAATATCGTCTATTATCGATAAATCGATATTTGGATAACAATACGCTTTTCATTGCAACGCATACCAATTTGATACGTATAATTTGAAATGTATAAGAAGCATCTTTCACTTTTTAAGTGTCAATTTTTTTTTTCTTCTTTCACCAAAATAGCAGGAGATTGATGGAGTGGAGTTTGGCTTTGGGGTTGATTTGGTGAAAGTTGATCGGGAAAAACGATAAAGTTTGTGAACATATTTGGAGTAACATTCGACACTTGCATAGGATAGTATTTCCTAACATTTGGGTATTGGAATTGTGGAGGAGATTGAATGGGGGCATCAAGTTGGGGACGATAAACCCCTTGAGATAGATCGATGGCGAAAATGTTTCGAGTTGGGTGCTTGAACTCGAAACATTGGTTTTTTTTCTTCTATCGGAGTTTAGGGTTTGATTGTTTGTTGGGATTCATTTTTTTAAGAAAATAGAGAGAAATTGATAGAAAAATGTGTGAATTTGAATTTTAAAATAGTGAGGTATTTATAGTCGTGTAAAATGGTATATATATATATATATATATATATATATATATATATATATATATATTTTTTTTTTTGAATTGTAAACGTTATTAAAGAAAAAAAAGTAAATTTTTTAAAAAGCTAACCGAATCTCATGCCTCCTATTCCGCACCCTCGGTATTGTGTTCCGAGGTGCGAGAATGCCTCCCGCTCCCTTTTCCCGCTACGTACCGTTCAGCCTAAGTCCATAAGGACCATAACATAAGGCTCGAACCGGATAATATTGCATAGGACTATAGGACAATATTTTGCTTAATATCAACTAGAATCGATATTTTGGATAACAATATGTTTTTCCGTTATTTTCTAGAATTTTTTGCATTTAAAAGAAAAGTTCTATGAGATGATAAAAAAAAGTTTATTTCTAAATGTCCTCCTAAAAAGTAGAAAATGATAGGGACCGAAAACAAAAGTCTTAACTCTGAAGTAGTAATAGTCCTCTATAACTAGGAAGTTGTAAGGCACCGTGAACTTGTAAGGCACCGTGAACTGGTGAGTCATTTGTAAAATCAAAATAGACTCTTATATTGAAACATCACTCAAAGGAAAATAAAACAGTTTTGAAAATTCGTATTTCCTAACTTCCGAAGTGGCGACTTAGATTGCTAAAATAATCCCCAAACCGAATCCATCGAAAAATGCGACAATATAGTCATCACTCAGAAAGAAATGTCTTTAGGAATCCTCTTTCTTACAACTGTACTTCTTTGTTATTGTGTCACAGTAACGCCCTCCTAGTGAACACTGTCTCGGTATGACATGCCAAACAAACATATAAGGCATGAATATATCTTCGGATGCTTTGAAAATGCGTCATCACTAACAGAACTTCAAAGGAGTTGTACGCCTGTATAGGAAAAAATAGTCATTAAAAAGAGTACAGAAAAGAGGCAGAATGATATATATATATATATATATATATATATATATATATATAATATATATATATATATATATATATATATACCCGCTCATCATTTTTCAAACCCAAGACCATCAATATTCATCAAATGTTGCGTCTAAGAGAGATCAATGCTAAAAAATGATTTGAGCATGCACACATATTTATGTTTTATGTGTTTTTTTTTTGACGTTTTCAAGTTGCGATTCTTGTAAACGCTGCTATTAGAGTCTCATTGTTGTGTTGATTTTGAAAAATATTGAAAAAAACACAAATATACATGTATGTATGTATGTATGTATGTATGTATATATATATATATATATATATATATATATATATATATATATATATATATATATATATATATATATATGAACATTCAAATGTGTATACATGCACATTTCAAAAAAAATCATCAAATCTTTTTTAGCCTAAATAAGGCTTAGACACACCTATTGTATACATGTATGGACCAATGAGAATTTAGCAATAATTTAATCATTAAATTTAGGAATAAGGGTAGCTTGGTCATTTTACTTTTAGAAGCCAAAAATAAATCTTTTATCTTTGGAAAATCATTAAATGAAATCTGCAATATTTTTATAAACCATAATGAGTAACGACGGCTTCCTCCAATCATCGATACATTTGTTCCTCTTTTCCACCAGAAATCGACCCCAAACATCCGAGCACCACCGTCGCATCTCCATGAAACACCAACGCATACTCCGTTGACGCCATCATCGACTACAACCTCTGAAGCCTGCACAATTCCATTCATCGAGACCCTGCTTTGGTATTGCTCCTGTGAATCCCCACGCCTGCACAACTCCACTTCAAGGTTTGAGCTTTATTGGTCGATATTAGTCTTTAGGATTTTTGGTTCTGGTTCATGAGACACACAACTACCCTTCTCTTAAATCAGATCAAATATAGTTTGATTCGGGTCCAAAATTGGTCCTCCTGAAGATATTCTAGTAGAGCAAATTTTGGTTTTACATATAACCTATCATCTAGCTTCAGATTCAGAATGCATCTGATTTTTGCCCGCCAACTATTTGTTAAAATGCTTGAATTAAATATTTCATCCTTTCATTTGCACATGATGTCCAGTGATAAGTATTTATACCCATTTGAAAATTAGAATATGTAGTTTTGTTAATCTGGTCTGGTGTTGGCCTAATGAGGTCTTTATATTTCTCTATTAGTTATTTCATACCCTTGATAATACAAATTCTTTAAGAATATTCAAAACCATTCTTGGAGAATTTTTACAGTATCATTCTTGCAGAATAAACATGTTTATTGATAGCTATTAGACTCTAAGTAAATATTTTGTTAGAATAAAGTATATGTGTTCTTATAGAATCTTTGTTTGCCATTTATTATTTTTTTTGATAAATTTTAAATTTTTTAATTTGGTGTATTTTATGTTTGTGGAGTCTTTTTTCGATTAAAAAGTGGTGATTCGAGGATTACATTCTATCAAAATGGTTAAAAAAGTTTACACTTCTTCATCCACTTTTATTTTCTTATCTAGTGATTTGAGGATTGCATTGAATTTTTTAATATTTGAAAGTTGATTATGTTTTCTTTGTGGATTTAGGTTTTGAAGAGGCTGTCATTGATGTGGAAAATGAAGAAAACATGGAGAACGAGACTGTATTCTATCAGAATGTATTATTTCAGAATAGATTAGTGTTTATGTTATATTTTGATGTTTTTTTTTCATTTTTTAATCATTCTTAGTTTTAAGCTTTAAGAATAAATGTAATTCTTGAACCATTACTAGTCATATTTTTTTTTTCAGAATGAATGTAGTAATTGTTTACAGTCTTATTCTTTACGAATTAATGTAATTAGTGATTCTTAAAGAATAAAATCTGTATTCTTTAGAAAATGTTATTCTTGATAATATGTTGTACAATTCTTTAAGCATGTTAATTATAAAAAAAAATATCTTGAATATAACCATATTCTGCAAGAATAAAATCGAAAATATCTTTACTATACGTATCTTCCGTTAGCGGATTTTTCGTATAACAACAGTTACCACGCCGGCATAGACCGACCTCCCTTCAAGATGCTTTACGGTAGGAAGTGTAGGACCCCAATCTGTTGGGGTGAGGTCGGTCAGAGAGTCATGGGGAGTACTGAGGTAGTACTCAAGACTACAGAGCGGATCCAACACGTCCAGAGTAGGCTCCAGACTGCTCAGAGTCGGCAGAAGAGCTACGCCGACAAGACGCGTTTAGATTTAGAGTTCCAGGTGGCGACATGGTCCTCCTGAAGGTGTCACCTTGGAAGGGTGTCATTCGGTTCCGGAAACGGGGCAAGTTGGGCCCCAGGTACATTGGTCCCTTCCGGGCTATAGCCCGAGTGGGCAGGGTGGCTTATCGGTTGGATCTACCGATAGAGCTCAGTCAGATCCACAACACTTTCCATGTTTCCCAGTTGCGGAAGTGCTTAGTGGATGATTCAGCGATTGTACCCCTTGAGGATATTCAAGTTGATGACAGCTTGAACTACATTGAGCGACCAGTAGCTATCCTTGACAGGAAGTCGAAGGATTTGAGGAACAAGAGGTGGAGTTGGTAAAGGTGCAATGGCAGCACCGCAAGGGATCAGAGTGGACTTAGGAGCCCGAGGAGGAGATGAGGGAGCACCACCCATAGTTGTTTTCAGACACAGCAGACTTCGAGGACGAAGTCTAAGACAAGTGGGGGAGAATTGTAACGCATGGTTCCTGGTATGCATTTAACTTATTTATTTATTCATTTTGGAAGGGCTACTCGACGAGTTGGTGACACTAACTTGTCGAGTAGAAGGCATATTTATGCGCGAGTTTGAAGTGAACTACTCGACGAGTCGGGAGTCTTGACTCGACGAGTAGGACAGCAGGATGAAACCCTAATCTTTAGGGCTTGCATCCTATTTAAGCATCATATCTGGCCTCCACCCCAACCTCTATCACCTCCAAACCCTAATCTCGAAACCCTAATCAACCTTGAGTGATCTTGAGCTATTTTCTTGCCATTTTTTTTATTTAAAGCTAGAAGAAGGAAGCAAGGACTTGGAGTTGCAGGAGGAAGGCTGAAGATCCAGAGCTTAAGACTCATTTCTGTCTTGACAGAGGTATAAAGATTATACCTTGGCTTCTATTCACTTAGATCTTCATTTGAGCTTGCATATTGTCACTTTTGGGCCATTTCCAAGGTCATTTCCGAGATTTGAACTCTTAGTGATGTAAGGACTTCAAATTTGGGCACTCTTGAGCTTTAGAAGCTCAAAGTTGCCACCTTTATTTAGTCATGGCCCTATTTCATGACTTAGACCTCCATTTTTAGCTTGTGATGGGTGTTTTAGCTTCATAACACCATGCATGCATGTAAAGTTAGCAACTTTACATGTAATGCTAGTCTAAGGAGTCCATATCAGTGAGTTGGAGGTATTGGAATTG